TGGATGGCGAAAAAGATGTTGAAGACATCCCAAGCACACATGAAGATGAGACCGATGACCTTGAAGAGAATGCAGTCACTGGAATGTGTCAAAGACGTGAGAAAGATCAGATGGGTGGGAAAGAAAATGTTGAAGGCATCCCAAGTGCAAATGAAGATATTACAGATGATATGAAACAGAATGCGGGAATGTCTCAAGGACGGACATTTGAGGAAGGAAATGTTGAAACGCAAGGGAACATTAAAGATGCTGCATGGTCTGCACACAATTTGTCTCAGGAAAATCAGAAAGACAATGCGGTACTAAGGCATGCACATGGAGATGAAGAAAATGACGTTGAGGATCTCAGATCACGGACTGATGAAAGTTCATCTACCAAGAATCGTATCCTTCGGAACGATGTAGGAGAAAGTGGAACTTCAAGGTCTACCAAGCATGCCACATCACAACAGACACGAAAAACTGCAGTTCGGAAAGAACGAATGAAGCATAAGGGCAATGAACGGGCAATTACGCTGCATGATTCCGAAGTTGCCAGCAAGAACACTGTCCGATACACTAGGAAGAGGAAGGAGCCAGCAACGTCAACTACAAATAAGTCATGTGGAAAGCGCTCAACGAAATAGTATTGTACAACACCACCATAGGTTTACGACAGACAATCCATAAGAAGTGACGATCCATTTCCACCACCGCAAATCAAGAAGTCAACTACAGATGGGCTTCCTAGGCTAAGGAGCAAGAGATGATGACCAAGTTGAAAAGGCTATGGCTGGTCCAAGGAAAAATAGGTGATGTTAATGGACTTCACTTCAGATGGAGGGATTGACACAACTCTATGACCCCCCAGGGGTGAAGGAGCATTCACCGTTCCGAACAAAAAGACTTTGAAGCTACATAAGACGGTTCATGACCACTTCAGTTGCTGTCTCTTATACACATCTAGATGTGTATAAGAGACAGCGCCTAAGCGGTCCACTCCGAGTCGTTAACAGGGTCGGCCCCTAAGGCAACGAACCCTCGCCTCAGATGCCTCCTAGGGAAAGGATGCACTTACC